GGAGGGAGGGAGGGAGGAAACAGCAGAGAGACACAGAGAGAAAAGGAAAGAAGTTAAATCTATAACAGTATTGTTCACATTCTAACTTTAATATTTATAGCATGAAAGGAATTCTATATTTTCCATGAAGTTCTTTACTTCAGATACTGTCCCTGGAAAGATCCATGAAGTTGAACCTCATAAATATCTTTTTAGTTAAATCATGAAACAAGTAAAATGCTTAACTTTGAAAGCAAATGAATATTACGTGGATGCTTTTGGAATACTAAACACAAAACAAACTACTATTGAGCATTCGAATAAGTTGCTAAAGCTTAAAATAATTTGAAAACTTCTAGGAAGTTAAATAATGAGAAATATTAATGGTCTTTAAAAAAATCACAAAGGGAAAAACAATTGAGGCACAAAAGTATGAATTCTGAGTTCCGTTATAACAAGCTTTTTTACCTACCAAGCCACTCATGTTCTATGGTCTAAGATTCCACACAACAGTCTGTGATCTGAGAAATTGCTACAGGTCAGAAGAGAAATCTACCTTCTCAGCAGTGACCTTAGACTGGATAACATTCTCTCTAGATTTTCACTTTTTTGTAACTTTGAACACACACGCAAGTACTAACGTAGGTAGAGTGTGCAAAGTTAAAGCCTGTTCAGATTAAAATGTGGACTTAGTACTACACCTACACCATGTTTCCATCAGGACTAACGTAGAAAACAGAAACCGCCTGTGACTTCACTAGACCGCCATCAGCACAAATCTTGAATTTGAGTTTTTGGGGTTTTTTGTTTTGTTTTGTTTTGTTTTTTGTTTTCTTTTTTTGTAACTTATGCTAAGAAAGAGATGATTCTCAAAGATAGTCTGAGAATATAAAATAGGAAAAAGGACGAAAACAAGTATCATTTAATATGGAATTATATAGTCTATTAATCCAAAATCATTGTATGATTTTACTTTTAATGAAGTAATCTGTTCAATAGTATGTTTGTTTATATTTCATGAATCTAGAGTCCTGAATTAAAACTATCATGTATGATTTATAATGAAACTAGTAAAGGATAATGTTTTTGTAAAAAACTCACCTCAATTGTGCTGCACGCTATAGGTCAATTTTATGTGTTTGAATTGAAATATTTAATTTACAGGCATAAAAGAACCCCTGTAAATGAAAGAAAATCTTAAATGTAAAACCTATTAGTGTGCTATGCACAGAATTCCCAAACTATCTTTATTTTTTACAGGTCTGAAACCAAATTCCAACTTCAAACCCTCCTTCAGAGGTTTGTCTGCCATCATTCAAGAGAAAATGCAATTTTCACAGATTCAGATCTTTCTCTTCTTTCCTTACATTTTACATTAAGGCCACAGTTAATTTTGTTTTGTGGTTCTTGAAGAATAAAGTTAATGAAATGCAATTAATATGTTTTCAAACATTACATTGTGTGTTTGTGTGTGTGTGTGTGTGTTGCACATGCATGCCATGGCATGGTTGTGAAGGTCCAAGGATAACTTTCAGGTATCTGTTCTCTGTTGCCAGGGATGGAAGTCAGATATCAGGCTAGGTTGAAAGCACCTTTTCTTACTGAGCCATTTCACCAGCCAATAATTGGGTTGTCATAAGTGGAACGTATGGGCATCCCCAGGGAATACTGTAGACTTCATATCCTGACTTTAGCACGACTTTGGGTATACAGTTGACTGTGGGCAGAGTTCACAGAAGTCCATGATCTAACACTAAGAAGAGCCACCCTAGGATGACACTGAAACATTTAAATATGACAGTGGAACCAGGCAGTATCTAAGCCATGGTGCTACAATCCAGGGGACGACTAAGTGACTCTTCTGGCCATTAAATGTATGTTCTAGAAATAAAAGCCTAGAGCACGCCCATGCCCAAATGTACTGTAGTCAATCCCAACTATAAATACAGCTACATCACAAAATTCCAGAACTTGATAGACATTCTAGATATGCAAGATTAATCTCACACATGATTCATTCAAAAAGTTCATGGCTAAATGCACACACATGTGCACACACACACACAAATAGGATGCTTTAGAATTTCACATTTTTTTCAGCCTTCACAATAGTCACAAATAATATAAAATATATTGTGGTAATGCTGACCAAGCAAGTGAACGATAAGTGTGAGAAGAACGTTAAGTCTCTCAAGAAAGAAATTGAAGAAGACCTCAGAAAATGGAGAGATCTCCCATGCTCATGGATTGGTAGGATTAACAGTCAAAATGGCTATCCTATCAAAAGCAATCTACAGATTCAATGCAATCCCCATCAAAATTACAGCACAATTGTTCAAAGACATGGAAAGAGCAATTCTCAATTTCATATGGCAAAACAAAAAACCCAGGGTAGTGAAAACAATTCTTAACAATAAAAGAACTTCTGAGGGAATCACCATCCCTGACCTCAAGCTTTACAACAGAGCAATAGTGTTAAAAACTGCTATTGGTACATAGACAGACATATTGGTCAATGGAATAAAATTGAAGACTCCAGAAATAAACCCACACACTTACAGACACTTGATCATTGACAAAGACACCGAAAATAAACAATGGGAAAAAAAGCATCCTCACTCAATAAATGGTGTGACTCTAACTGGCTGTCTGTATGTAGAAAACTGAAAATAGATCCATATTGGATCAAGGACCTTGGCATAAAACCAGACACATTGAATTGAATAGAAGAGAAAGTGGGAAAGAGCCTCAAACTCATTGGCATGGGGGTTGGGGTGGGGGAGGATTTCCTAAAGAGAACTCTCAGGCTCAGGCTCTAAGATAAAGAATTGATAAATGGGACCTCATAAACCTGAAAAGCTTCTGTAAGGCAAAGGACACAGTCAATAGGACAAATCCACAAGCTACAGATTGGGGGAAAAAATCCTTACTAAGCCCACGTATAGAATGATAATATCCAAAATATATAAGGGACTCAAGAAGTTGACCTCCAGGATTTCACATTCTTCTGTCTAAAAGTATTTAGCGAATAAGCAGTGTTTAAAAATGTAACATAGTTTTTTTCCCTTAAACAGTGTTGAGCCTATATCTACTCAGCAAAGTGCTTGCTATGTTAGCATGTGGACCTGGGTTCGATTCTCAAAACTATGTAAAAACTTGACCAGATGGTACACAGGTTTTTTTCTAATTTATTTACTCACTTTAAATCCTGATCACCTCCCCTTCCTCCTCTCCTCCCAGTCTCATCCTCCCACCGCCTTCTCCCATTACTCCCTCCCCTTACCCTCAGAGAAGCGGTAACCCCTTCTGGATACCAATCTACTCTGGCACATCAAATCACATCAGAACTCGGTGCATTCTTACCCAATGAAGCCAGACAAGGCAGCCCAGCTTGAGTAAGGGGATCCAAAGGCAGGCAACAGAGTCCGTGTAAGAGATGGCCCTTGCTCTAATTGTTAGGGGATGCACGTGAAGAGTAAGCTGCAAATCGTATGTGTAGGGGGCCTAGAACATACATGCTCTTTGGGCCGAGGTTCAGTCTCAGCCCTCACAAGCCCAGGTTAGTTGACACTGTAGGTCTTCTTGAGGTGTCTTTGATCCCTCTGTCTAATGTTTGGTTCTCTGCATCTGTTTCCATCAGCTGTTGAATGAAGCCTCTCAGATGAGAGTTAGCCTAGGCTACTGTCTCAAAGCATAAGAGAGTATCATTAATAGTGTTAGGGATTGGCTCTCTCTCTCTCATGGGGTAGATCTCAAGTTGGCCATTCCCTCAGTCTCTGCTCCATCTTTATCTCTGCACATCTGGTAGGCAGGGCAAATTTTGGGTCAAAGATTTTTGGGGTGGGTTGGTGTCCCTCTCCCTCCACTGGAAGTCTTGCAGTGCCACTTTAGACTCTGTATCCCCTGCTGCTAGATCTCAGCTAGGGTCACCCCCATATCCTCCCAGGAGTTTCCCCTACCCCAAATCTCTGGCTTGTCCCAGAGATGCCTCCCTCACCCTTATCCTTCTTTTTCCCAGCCCTCTCATCCCTCATTCCTACTCTCCCCACACCTGATCCCTCACCTGTTCCCTTCCTCATCCTTCTCTCCATCCACTTCAGATGTCTATTTTATTTTTCCTTCGGGTAAGACTCAGCATCCTCCCTTGGGCCTTCCTTCTTACTTAATTTGTGTCTGTATTATATCGTGATTATCCTGTACTTTATGGCTAATATCCACTAAGCAGTGAATACATACTATACATGTCTTTCTGGATCTGGGTTACCTCACTCAGGATATTTTCTAGATCCATCCATTTACTGAGAAATTTCATAACGTCCTGTTTTTAGTAGCTGAGTAGTATTCCATTGGGTAGATGTAACACATTTTCTTTATCCATTCTTCACTTGAGGGACAAACTACTATGAACATAATTGAGCAAATGTCCTTGTGCTATGGCACTTAAAGAAATGTTCCATGTCCTTATTCATCAGAGAAATGTAAATCAAAATTACTATGAGATTCCATCTTACACCAGTCTAGATGACCAATATCAAAAGCTCAAGTGACAGCACATGCTAGTGAGGATATGGAGCAAGGGGAACACTCCCTCATTGCTGCTGGCAGTACAAACTTGTACAAACACTTAGGAAATCAATCTGGCAGTTTCTCAGAAAATTGGGAATAGTTCTACCTCAAGACCCTGCAATACTACTCCTGGGCATATACCCAATAGACATATACTCCACCACACGACAAGGACATTCGCTCAGCTATGTTGACAGCAGCGTTATTCATAATAATGGTACACACTTCTAATCTAAGCAGAGGGGAGACAGAGACAGGAAGATCCCTGATGCTCACCAGCCAGACTGCCAAACCTAATTGGTGATTTTCAGACCAATGGAACAGTATCACAAATGAGGGAGATATCCTAAGGATGATACCTGAGATTATCTTCGGGCTTCTGCACAAACATTTACATGACACATTCACTTACACACATTGTTTAATTACAAGGAAAATAAGCACGCGAATTATAATTACATACGACATCAGTCAGGAAACCATGAATTGTCTGGCAAATTACTTTCTTTTTAGCCACATAGTCCATTGCTACAATGTTTTCACATATGTTCGCTGATCAACTGTGATTTAGTCTTCTATATAATTTCATTTAATTCTGTATCATTCAAATAGTTGAACCTCATTTTTATTAATTATATTGTTAATTTCCTTTTAAAGGAACAAAATAGTAAACATTAAAATTTCACTTCATTAATTTAAAAAACATATATATATGAGTATATATTTATTAGAGCAGAAATGACTCAGGAAGCTTCATGATCAAAGGCCACCCCAGGATGGGTGGCAGCTCACAAAAGCTGGAAGCCTGTAGCACACTGCACAGCCTATAGGCAGCTCAACCTGCTGGAGTAGAAGAGGAGAGTGAAGCTGGTCAGTTTCTAGGACTTCCTGATAATGTTTTAAGTTATTTGCTTTCTGTCTTAGGGAGCTTCTCTCCAGATTGTTTCGATTTCAGATAAAACTACACAACACCCTGTCAGGAGCCATAATGGGACAAGCTAATAATTAGCAGTTGATCATCCTGAAATGCTTGCCTCGGATACCCTATGAAGATTTCTTTGGCACATGGCATGCAAGCGAGTGTGCGAGCATGTCCTGTGTGTGTGTGTGTGTGTGTGTGTGTGTGTGTGTGTGTGTGTATACACAGATAGATATATTTATTGGAAGTCAGATTTTGATGTCATGTACTCCTTTAATTGCTATCCATTTTCTATATTGAAGTAAGCATCTAATTCAGCTACTCTAGGTACCAAGCTCATTACAGAAATCTATTATCCCTACCCCTGAACATGGAGATTACAGATGGACCATCATACTTTTCTTGAATCTCGGGTCATCACCCAACATTCTGATTCTATTACTGCCACCAATCATTGGCCCTCGAAGATTGAACAACAGCTACTAGTTGATACATCTGTAGATGGTTAAAGCCATGACATGCAACCTTTGAAGAGACCACACTATAGCTGCTTTCTCAGCCAGCCCCACAGCCATGATAATGTCAGGGAAATAGCTGAATTACAACCCTGAGAAGCTCTCAAAACCATGACAACTGTGCAAGGAGTGACCATTTTTATACTTACTGCTGGGACAAATAACAATATCTGCAATAATGCCACCACTGCCACATGAACCTCTGTTGATTTTAAGTCTGAAAATTATATTACTGATGCCAAAAAGTATATCCTGAAGATGATGCATCAGCCTCTGACTATGAATATGATGCAAAAATTGTGGAAAATTACACCACATTTCTGGAATCATAGCCACTGCTATTCTTTGATCTCACGGGCAACTACTCCTAAACAAAATTCTTCAAGACAGGCAATTGATGACAGTAATCAGAAATTACACAGGGTATTGACT